GTGGATTTTCTATTTTAACATTTGTTAACACAAAATGCGCTTGAATGTTTTATCCTCTTTTTAAGTGTTAAGAAAATGTGGTCTTTTGTGCTCAGGAAAATGCTTTTAAGCCACTCAATACATTTGTACAATGCTATTTTTCTCCATTCTACTTTTTGAGTTACCCCTTCTTTCCAAGTTACGCATCCTAATCTTTTGCAAATGCGCAATCTTTCCCATCATATTTGTGTTTTTCAGGTAATGTGTTATTTGTAATTGTCAACTCCATGTCGTTCCATACGGCATCACTTCGGGCGGCAGTCGGCTTATGGATTTCCCTATCTTGTAATTTGTGTTACAGCTCAGTGTTTCTCGATGCGTTTAAATACGCACGACTTCAACCGCACATTTATGGATATTTTTGGAAGGTTTGTTCGGTGTTAAGTAGCGCCAAACGTGACAAATTCATCACAGCTTAACAATGGTTTGCATATGTTTTCTCCATAGTTTCCTTCCCTTCTGAGTATAGTGCAGGTCGAGTTTACTAGATCACATTATTGCCAATCAAGTGATCATAAAATTTCCTTGTTTTGCTTTAAACATTAGAAAGTTTTCTGAACCATCATTTTGCAGATCACTCTCCCTTAGCAAAATCTCGCGCAACTACTGGCAGCAAATAAGTGAAATCAGAAGATGAAAAGTTTTCCTAAACAATATGTTAAATCTACTGAGGTAGAGACTTTTCATCACCTAGAAATCCTCATTTCACAGTCAAGAATAGCTTTTGCCTGTGGCTCCAAAAAAGCCTATGCCCTTATTTATGCCTTAGGCTTTATCAAAAAATACGCCAAGAAGGATAAACCAATAAACAATGAATTATTTGCTTCAAGCAAATGAGAATGCATCTTCACTTCGTGCCCAATAAAAGATCAGGATGGTAAGTGCTAAAGAAAGTCGACTGGTAGAAATGAAAACACGAAAATTTCAACTTAAGAAGAAAAATTATAGAACTTTTGACTGAAAGAGCACAATGAGGGCATAAATAAAGCATTATCGGCCTTGATTTACCTTGGGAATAGGAAATACTTGAGCCGAAATAAAAAAAGAGGTGATGGCATCAAAATTTGGAGTGGTGAGTACCCTATATGATGCCCAAGTGCATCAAGAGTGCTGTGTGAGTTCTCCTTTAAAATGATTTTTTGCCTTATTTTTAATTTGTTTCAGACTGAGACACGCTAGAGCTTCAGACTTTGTTAAAATTTTACCAGTGTTTAGTGGATTATCTGATTGGTAAGTTTTGCTGCTGTTAAACAGTTTCTTACCAAATGGTAAAATATTTCAACAACCATGATTAAAAATGCCATCTTTTATCCACGAAAGATTTTGCCTATTCCGCAAACAGGAGTGAATTTGTAGCTTGTAGAACTCAACATTTCTGTCAAAAGTGGGCTCCAGGAGTGTGATTAGCATCCTCATCTCTCAGACGTACTCTCATTCCGTTCCACTAATCTACGATACAATGAAAATAGGAGGCAGAATTTTTAGAGAGACAGAGGAACTTGCTGGTGTCTTGCAAATCGAACAAAATCATAGAACCGTTAACCCAAGTTTTCTCAGTGAATTTGTCACCAATTTTTCCGTCATTTTCCGCTTATATTCTTCAGAGGTGCAGAATATTACCCAACCATTGAAACCTGTATTTAACTGTCCCCATTTAGCATTGCGTTTTATCACCCAACAAAGTGTGCTGGGTGGAGTAGTCTTTCGTATTTTCCTTTACGGCAATGTTTGGTTTTACAATTTTTTTGTGTGCACATATATTCATCCGTAGTGAAGGTCGCAAATTGAGCAGGATTGATTGCATGACATAGGGAGAGGAGGGCACAAAAAGGAGATATGTGATTGCTACTAAAGAATCAGCCCCATAAATGGGAGGCATTGCAAAGCAGGAGAGTCGTGTCAAGTAACAACTATATCCCCTAGCTATTAGCGCTTCCACGTGTTCTCCAGAGCCCACACCATTAATCAAAGTGACAGTCAACACCTTTGGGCATAAACTACTAGGTAGTGACGATGATGACGCTTCTTATAAACAATGTTATACAACTTGAGTCCATCTATAGAAGGCCTTAAACTAATAACAATATACAAAATCTCATCTCTGGTTAGAATAGTCATTATAACGTCTGTCAGTATGAACTCCTTCCGTACTTTCCTTGTACACAGGTACCCAGAAGCCATTTCCGTGAAAGTGTTTAATCCTGACTAACCTGATGTAAAGTGGTAAAAGAAATGATTTATTCTGCAGGAACTGTGATCTCCGGGTGCCCTTGTGTCCCCCTAATCTTTCAGTCGCCTATTCGGCTAAAGCAAGACTGAAGTAGGATTGTGCTGGTACAAATTGCTGTCCGAATGAACATACTGGCCCCCTGTTCCACCAACGCACATCTATGAATGTTGTAGCCTGACCTAATCTGCTCTGACCCAACCTCACCTGCGTGTAATTCGTTGCTAGGTTTATTCATTTATGCTCAGCTAGTATACGGGCACCAATGTAGGTTTAACCGAAAGGCAATAGTTACTAAACCCAATTGGTAAAACATTCTCTGAGATATTGTGCCACAGCTCAGTGGGAAGGGTCTGTGACCACACCTCTCCCTAAGTAGCTAGACCGTTTATTCGAGAATTCATAGAATGCATCCTCGTAGTTACCTCCCTTTTGTAGAAACAAATCCTATTCCGCCTATTTAATTGCGGCGCTGTAAGGTTCTGTTTTTACTAGTCAGGTATTCTGATTTCCAGGTCTTTTATTCTGCATGATGACTTAGGTTCAACTTTGGTCGTCATCTATTTAAACAATTCAAAGGAGTAATTCTATTTCTCCCTATTATAATAACACACTTTTAAACTATTCACATCGATGGACATAAAGTGAGCATTGTCTTCCCCGGCATTGATTCTGCAGCCTCGTAAATCCCATTCCCTTAAAACAAAAAATGCATTTTAGGGGTAACAAATCACTAAAACAATCGAGATAGGAGAAAATTAGGCTTTTTGACAGAGTGAGTAAAACAAGGCAGAGAC